CTAAGTAAATATTCCCAGAGATCACCTGTCGTGCAAAAGGGATAGGTCATGGCCGGTTTAGGCCGACTGCAAAATCATCGGCGCTGAGCTTAGCTGGATTGATATGCTGCTGCTGATCCTGAATTCCCAAATCGATCACGCCTGCTTTGAGCTGTGAGTGAACACCAAGTCAAACTCTCTCATCTTAATCGGATTTAGTTCATAAGGTTGATCAGAGAGAAATCGCCTGCGGTTGCTGGAAAGACGGACATATTGTTGATATCCAAGCCACGGATGCAGTTGGAAGACCATGGCTTCGTTACTTCTCGCCATAAAATTTGTTAGTCCCGCTCGGTCTGATCAACTATGTGAGTCAGATTGGATGCAGCCGCTTTTGCATCTTGATAACGCAATCAGCTCCTTGTGTTGCAACATCGGTATCTTGAAGCGATGTTCCGAACCGACATCCTGACACGCATGTTCCTTGCTCATAGATGCACAATGACTCTTGCTGTGAGAACATCAATGCCAGCGCTGATAAGGACGACATGTAACCCGAAAATCCTTCTTCATTATCATTCCTGTTACAACGTCGCTTCCCACGCTGATTTCTGTGATTAAGACGCGCGATGGAGTCACCGAAACTTACTAATGATACTGAACGGACCCCGCTCTTTTTTCGGCATGACTCTATGTCCTCTGCAAGGAGCCTGACTGTATCTCTCGACGATGCCTCCAGTCATTCATCAACTGTCCAACCATGCTCGTTGCAAACCAGAGCCTTGAACGATGAAGAGGCAAGCTTTGGTTCAACTCCAGACATGACATCTTCAACATCAGTCTGTCGAATGGTCTGCGTCCTCCTTATTGGCAGCTTTATATCAAACGCAGATGGCTCTCTGTTGCTCGCGACGCACCCTATTATCGCATCAGAGTTCGACGCGCTCCACGATTCAAGTTGGCTTCTGACTAGCTTTGCCCTCACGCAAGCAGCAACTCAGCCACTGTATGGAAAGCTGAGCGACATTTACGGTCGCAAATCAATGTTACTCCTGGCTTATGCGCTGTTCGCGGTTGGTTGCGCTTTAGTGGGCATTGGTGCATCTATGTCAACTCTGATTTTAGGTCGTGTCGTATCAGGTGCAGGTTCGAGTGGCATGACAGCCCTCGTTTCCATTCTTATCACTGACTTGGTACCGCTACGAGATGTGGCAACTTGGCGTTCTTATGTCAATGTGGTCGCAACCACTGGACGTAGCATTGGCGGACCTTTGGGTGGCTGGCTTGCGGATACTATTGGCTGGCGATGGTCCTTCTTGGGTCAGGTTCCGCTTGCTGGTATTGCTATCATTCTCGTTGCTAGTACTATTCCCTCTCGTGTACAACAGCACCACGACGATGCTAGTATACAGGGTGGGAAATTGGCGCGGGTTGACTTCATTGGCGCTATCTTGATGACACTGAGCATCCTCGGCTTACTCATTCCTCTCGAGATTGGTGGAGATCGAGTCCCTTGGTCGTCTCCTATCATCACTATTCTCTTATTCTTGGCCACGGTATTTGGCGCCCTGTTTGTAGCCACAGAATACTGGGTGGCTAAAGAACCGATCATACCGTTATCGTTGCTGCGACAACGGGATGTGGTGGTCTCATCGTTCGTCATGGTCTTCCAAAGTGCTGCCCAAATTGGCCTTATGTTCGCAGTTCCACTTTACTTTCAAGTAACGTCGGGTGCATCTAATACCGTTGCAGGAGCACATCTGTTTCCTGCGGTGGCTGGTAACGCGCTTGGTGGCATTCTCTCCGGCATCATCATCAACCGCACAGGACGCTACAAAGCTCTCACGCTTGTAGCCACAGTAATATCCTCGACTGGATACTTATTGCTAGTTCTCCGATGGCACGGCAACACTAATTGGCTCGAGTCCCTATACATTTTCCCTGGTGGCTTTGCTATGGGCATCGTGCAATCGGCACTCTTCATCAGCGTTCAAGCAGCTATTGATCCGGCATTTAGCGCCATCGCAACCTCAACCCTTTATCTCGCATCCTCTATTGGTGTACTGGCTGGCATGTCTGGCGTGAGCGCTGTACTACAGGAGGCCTTAAGGAATGGACTTGACAATAGACTTACTAACTTGGGCTTTGCTGAACTCAAGAAGTGGAAGATTATCGAGCACGCACTCTCAGATGTGCACTATTCTGACAAGGCCAAACCGGTCATTGCAAAAGCTGTTGTGGACGCCTACATTGAAGCTTTAACTTATACACACGGTGAGCTAACTACATTTCGTATGGATACACTCTAACGCAAACTTCCAGTACTATCGTTGGCGTGTTCAATCACCGCTTTTATTGGAAGTCTCTTTCTTCGACAACGTAAACTGTAACAGTATTGCGAAGCGTTGGCCCAGTAATTGTGAATGAGGTGAAAGTGACTGGATTAAGGTTAAATGGTATTCATCAGAGAAGTCCAACGACAAAGTGTCCCAAATATCTCCGCGCAAGAGGTATTGGCCATACTATGCAATGCAGCCCTTCATATCGCCGAATTTAATTAAATTGTTTATACAAATATTGAATGTGAAAAGTCGAAGCAGAACTACTTCTCTTTTTCATTACACTCAACAAACAATATTCGTGGCATCTCTCGTCCTCCTGTTCGTGGGTACTGGTACAGATAGTTCAGGCGGTGCATGTCTAGTTAACAAAGATCATTCGTACCTTAAAATGTAATAGTGATGGAATTTCTACTCCACTGTCACTTACATCATGCATCGTTGTGGTTCTTGACACATTAGAGAAATCCTGTCGAGACGGTTGCCCATTCATCCGGTCGAGCCCATTGAAGTTGTCTGCGTAGTATGACCTAATTCATTTGATCAGCCTACATGTTCAAGCGTAATTAAATCCCTCGCATCATGCGTGCATGTGTAATCACTCCGTGCTTACTGTTATTTTAGTAACCTTACGAATGCACGCCACGGCCAGCATTGAAACAACTGTGATGTCGAATTTGGCTTCATAAATCATTGTTAAGACTTGTGGATCAGTGGTACGTAAACATGTCCCATGCTGGGGTAGCCTCTGCGTTAAAAGAGAGACTCGCGGCTCATATACAATCTTTTCTAAGGTTGACTCTCTGGATGAGAGAACTCATTGACCAGGCAGAGCTTTACTGTCAAGATTCTGGCCCTCTCCCTCGTTTGGCCACGTTTGTTGAAGTTCGCCAACTTCGCCTCGATGGTTTCCCCAGCTGCTAATGAAAGCTTTGCCCTCGTAATCCTCTACTCCTTTCCACCTCTTCCCTCTAAGTCTGTCCATCAGCACTGCAGCCTTCTCGTCCATTGTCACACATAAGAACAATCTCGACACATCATCTGGAGCGACCTCGTCCATGCGTCCACCAGGGTACATCATTGTCGGCCACTCAGCTACGACAAGTCCGCCTGAGCTAGGCCATGCGGCACCGACCCACGCGTTTTCCCTCGCCGTCGGCTCAGGCTGAGCAGCCATTACCTCCTCATCTTGCGAGTGGTCGGGTTCAATGAAGAGGGCGTGTCTAGCGGGAGAGTCCCACCACTTCCCTCCGAGTAATAGTAAGCGCTGAGCAAAGTCGTCTTCCTCTTGTCGAGTGGCGTGACGCTTCTTCGGTGGATCGAGACGGTCGAGGCCGAGAAAGTCAAAATCTGCAGGACAGGGCCTCTCGAGTACGATCACACCTCCGCGTGACGGCCAAGCGAATATGGTGATTTCTTCGTAGAAATCGACACGTTTACTGAGATCTTTGACGCTATCGTAGACGGTTCGCGTACCGCACAAGTGCCTCGGACGTTGCACCGGATTTGTGAAACGTGCGCTATCAGATGGGGGCGGTGGCGTGGGATGGATCAGACTGAGCAGGCTGTCCATGATAGGGCCCGAAATGTGTGTCGAGTGCAATGGTGGAGGCGGGGAACAGAAGATTAACATACAGTAGCTGTGCCTTATTCTCGGTCACGTGCAAACCTAGAATGGCGGGAACGCCATCGCTTCGGCCCTTGTGCGTAAGCACTCTGTGATAACGGATAAATAAGTAGCGCGCGCTTGATGAACTGTATTCTTTGACATTGTCAGAATTGAAACTTCTGCAAAGGGGGTTGATTGCTCAATTATGGCCCCTGGAGATGCTTAGTCATGCGGTACTTCACCGCGCATGGCAGGATGCATACGGATTCAGAATTGCGCACAGTGACTTGACCAGATGCAGAGCCGCCGTAGCGCCACAATGGCACAGCTTCATACGCAAGCCCGCGGAGTGACTGCGCCAACCACTGATTAGCAAAGTCAGGCCAAGAGCAAACCTAGCAGAGTCTAAGCCCAGCAAGTAGGCTGGATTGAGCGAAGGCAGACCAACGAGATGAAAAGTACGTCATTTACGCAACAAGTCACGTTGCCCGGAGATTGGAGCAAAAGACCGAAACAGTCCCGCTAGCGTAGCCGAGGCCAATGGGCCTCAATGGCTGGTGGAACATGAGCAGCGAAGAGAATGCGAATCGTGAGAGTCGTCGCGTGTGCGAGGTGTGATCAAAGATGAGGAAGGAGGGCAAAAAGCGGAAGTGAATCGGAGAAGTGTTAACGTGAGTCGATGTGAAATTCGCAAACGAGATGCAACAAAGACTTGAAACGCTATTGCACCAAATATAAAAATCGATATTGCGACACCCTATTCTGCGGCAGGGTGATGGATACGAGTATTAGTGCATAATTGGCTACTGTTTGCTGATGCGCAAGCCACGCGCCAGCCGCTGATATGGAGCAGCTTTCTGCGCGCTCACGTGCTTTCGAGAATAAATTTCATGTGCTAGCCTCAATATGAGTATATGACCGCAAAACCGCTCTATGCATGGAGAGCTGAGATGTGCAGCCAATTGAGAATTTTTTGAACCCGATATGACTTAAAACTGCTCCTGAGATCCAGCTTTCATTTTTTGGTCAATATATTGTATTATTTTAATCTGCTATCATCAAAGAGCACAACTGGGCTTGTGGTTTAGTGGTATAATACTCCCTTAGCATCTCTGGTTCATCTGGAATACGACTGGGAGTGGTCCGGGGTTCGATTCCCCGCGAGTCCATCTTTTTTTGCTTTTGTTTCAGAGTTTTCTATCCAGTGGCCGTCGTGGCGTGGGTGGTAGTTTGATTATTTTTGGTGGGTTTCGGGTTGTGGTGGTCCGAGCTCAGAACATCTGCCCTTGACTAAAACTGCGTATTAGCCTTGAGATCCACTCGTCAGCATCCTTCACCTTGAGGGTCAATTATTTAAGATGCCTTCTCTTTGCTCCAGGTTATGCAGAGTATTCTCTCCCACGGATCATATAATTTATGCGCCACAAGAACACCGAGTGCCATCAAAATTGGAGAATCGTTCATGAATGTCCGGAGCCCAATACGTCCAAAATGACCCGCTGGCATCTACCTTATTGTGAAGCACCAGATGTGTTCGTTGACGAGAGCAATATTCCAGAATGTCGAGCATGCGGATCCTTATGCCCTGCTACAGCCGAGCTTCTGGCTATGCAGGGAAACTGCCAGTCAGGCCTGACACTTCCGCCAGACGAGCCCACGGGCCAAATGAACCTTTCGTGGCCCAAAGATGTTCCATACGTGAACAAGAAAGAGATAGACTTGGAGGCACAACATAGCGCCCACAAACTGTCAGAAAGTCCACCGCCATCCCTTCCACCATCTGCAGCAAGAAACTTCCCTGTCTATGGCGACACGTTAAGACCAAATGAGATTCGCCTTGTATGCTTATATGCTGTACCAAGGAGAGATTGTGCAGTTCACTTAACACTAGAGACGTTCACTACAGACAACCGACCTGAATACGAGACAGTGTCTTATCAGTGGGGAGGCGAGAACGGAGACAGTACACCATGCAAGCCAATTTTCATCGGCCCTTATTGGGATGTAGTCCTCCAGACGCAGAACTGCTGGTCGATGCTGAAATTTGCAAGACCATGGCGAGGAATTCGAATGATGTGGGTGGATGCAATATGTACGTGAGGTGTACCAACACGAGGTGTATGCAGTAACACTGAGTCTTCCTCTTACACTTCCAGGTATCAACCAGAACAATCTAGTAGAAAGAGGTGCGCAAGTGGCAAATATGCGAGAGATTTATGGCAATGGCAGTCGCGTCATGGTCTTCCTTGGGGACGATATCATCACTCCTACCATGAAGTATCCCACCTACTCGTCCTTGGACGAGCTTAGTTCATGGCCAGTGGCTCTCTCTCCCCGACCTTCTACCAGAGTAGGAAGTGAGGCTATTAACCTGTCAGGTCTGCTACAGAGAGCGTACTTCAGCCGCGTGTGGGTCATCCAGGAGCTCTTAGTATCTCCAGGGGCAGTGTTTCGCATTGGTAACATCGACTTCCGCGCGGACGCTGAAATCATACAACGCATCTCCAAAGGATCATCAACCCCTTTCAAATGGAATACAACAAGCGCACCTTGGGTCCAACAACTGGCGCAGAAATCACTTAATCCAGCTCGAACTAAAGACGCCTTCAGTCTTGCTGCGCTCACATCGAGATGCAAAGCCTCGGATCCTCGCGATCGCATCTTTGCCATCAACCAACTCCTTGTCGACGCTAGCTTGCGAAAGAACCTGTATGTCGATTATACAATCTCATTTAGACATTTCTCTATCGGCTTTTTTGCGCATTCGCTTCTAGTTTCTCGAAAGTACAGTTTCCTCGACCAGGCCGGGCTGTCGTCTGAGCATCAGGAAGATGCAGGTTCAGCGAAACCGACGTGGGTACCAGAATGCAGAAGTCATGAAAACTGGCAACGTGCTTTTGTCAATGCGATAACATCTACAAGCGGGTCTGGCTCAACTTCTTGGCGCCCGAGAACTGACCTGCAAGTGTATCTCGATGAGCGCTCGACCGTTGCCCTCAGAGAGGTGATTCCCGAAGTCTCAGGGAAAGATTTCAGTCCTGGATCTCAGCTTTATCCTTGCGTTGATGCAACCACTGGAGCTCTTGAACTGAATCTCACGCGTCTGCTGGTCTTCACAGAGCGACCACAAGAATTAGAGGTCGGGTTTGGTTGCTATCACTTATATGCAGTCAATCCCGTAGTTAATGGGACAGCACCTTTCTGTCTACTGGCATGGACACCACTACGCGCCCAACCAGGCGATTATCTGTTCGCATTTACTACAGAAAACGAAGCAGATGCTCGCGAAGGCTACAACACAATTTACCTCATCCTTCGCCCGAAAACAACAACGGGTGAGCAACTAGATGTGCCAACTTTCGAGCTCGTCACTACACGTGTTGGGCTCTGCAGCGGAAATGCCTGGCTCGCCAGGTTTCAGCAGCGCCTTGACAATCCCAGAAGTCTCTCTGAGCAAGAGTGGCCCAGACTGCGCAATCTCGGCTTCTTGAGGCTTCGCCATGTCCAGGCTAGCGTGGCATTTGCAATCAACAATGTATTGCGCGTTCTTGTAGAAGCAAGGCACTTCATCTTCACTCCAAAACAACTGATATACGCGGAATGCCTCCCCAATGGCACTGACGAGACGAGCCGTACCAAAGCTTCTAGGATCTGCGTGGCATTTCTCAGGCATGGGCGGCGCGACCACATTGAGTTTCAGCGTGGTCTTGAAAAGATATGCAGGGAGAACTGCTACAGACCGCCTTCGCAGGGCGGGTTGCACATTGCACAGTCGATGCGAGATTTTTTGGTGAGAAATGGGCTTGAGTCACTGCTCGATGCATTGCGGTCCGCATACGACCCGCCTCTCACTATGACCGAGATGGAAGAAGTCATTCGAGATGGGCCAACGGAAGAACAGAAACACATAGGCTTACCAAAGTATGTTAGCGGGTGTAGAGTCGAAGGCAGTGTTCACAGGGTGCGCATCGTGTAGCTTTGCAATCGACACTCCAGATCGACTTCAAATCAGCAGTAGTGTGAAGCTAGCAAGAGTCATCTTCAGAGTGACAGAGGAGGTACACTATGCTTCTCCCAAGCCAAGAGCTCTGATTCTCCACCCCGCTCCGCTAGTCCATTCCACCGAGACGCATTGGTATTGCATGTGATGCTCCCCGCTGCAAGCTAGATCCCAACGCGGATCCGGTCCGCCGCCCCCGGATGCCCCATTGCATGTGAAGGCTTGTTCGGGTGGGTCCGCTACCCCAGACCCAAGAACCTGGGGCGCCTGCATAACGCGCATTCCGAGCTTTGTTCATGGGAGAAACCGGGTTCGCAAGCTTGTCCGTATCGAGATTGGCGTACGTGTACTGTTATCGTTGAGCCTCGTCTCCATGTGAAAGGGAATGGCGATCAATGGCGTAACTCGGTGGAACTTGCTTGTTGCACTGTTGAGATGCGGACGCGGTGTCGGCACGGGAGGGGGAACCGCAATTGGGCTTATCTAGCAATGTATTGGCAGGGCAAATGCCGACAACGACTGTGTCTGGTGTGGTCTCAAACATGTTGATATCAGCCTGCATCATGGATACATTCACAAAGAGGAATATTGAGACATGTCCAAGTTCGCAATGTAAGGGAATATTCATTGCATGATCCCAGATCGTATTATAGCCTATTCGCTAATTGTCCAATGCGGTCCAAACCGCTACTACTGATGGTATCTATCTGAACGACATGTGTCGTGTGAGAAGGATGTGTGGTAGGGTATCGAAATCCATCCATCCCGAGGGAACAATTTTCCGTGCCCCAGTGCCAGTCTAAAAGTTTTGATGATCGCAACCCATAGCGCCATAAATAGGTCGAAGAAATGAAGTCTTACAAGTGCGCAATACCGTTAGAAATGCCATTGACAGTGTTGGCATGACCATTGGTATAACTATTCATGCTGGACGCAGTGGCAATGAACTGGTTGACATCGTTGCCAATGCTTGCACGCTCATCATAGGGGTTGTACATCCTCTCCTTGATGTATGAGTCAAGCTGCTCATCAGAGAGGGCTCGCAGCTCAGTGGCGCGATCGACACCATTCTTCTGAGCGGCACGGATGACACCACGAGTCACGATAACGGAGACTTCGCGGATGCGGCGAATGTCAGGGTACAGCCAGCCATCAGCGACCTCCTGCTTGTTCAACGAGGTTGAGAGCGACTCTGCAGAAGCGTAGATCATATCCTGGGTGATGGACACAGCCTTGGAGATGATGGCACCAAGTCCGATACCGGGGAAAACATACATGTTGTTTCCTGTGCAACCGTCAGTCGGGTATTACCGGGTAATACGATGAAGTATGAGCTTACCTTGGCCAGGGGTGAGAAGCTTGCCATCCCATTCCGTAGCCGGGAATGGAGAGCCGGAAGCAAAGAGACAGCGGCCCTCAGTATTGAGGACAGCCTCTTCGAATGTGCACTCAGACTTGCTTGAAGGGTTGGAGAGAGGGAAGATGATGGGCCTGTCGTTCAACTTCGCCATCTTCTGGAGGATGTCTTTATTGAAGGCACCGCCAATTGTTGACAAGCCCATTAGGATAGTGGGTTGTACGTAATCAATGAGGCGAGCAAGAGACTGGTACTGGCGACCATTGTTATCGTCTCGAGCAAAGTAGACCTTGTGGTCAGCTAGCTTGTCGCCGCGGTCGTTGGTAACGAGGCCATTTGAGTCCACAAACCAGAACTTGCGGCGGGCTTCCTCTTCTGTCAGACCCTCCTTGATGAAGAACTCAACGATTTGCTTAGCTACACCAACACCGGCACTGCCGGCGCCGAGGAAAATAGCTTTATGGTCCTTGACAGGGACACCAGACGCCTTGACAGCGTTGATGAAGCCACCAACAATGACAGCGCCAGTACCCTGGACGTCGTCGTTGAACATGGTGTAGGTATTCTGGTAGCGCTCAATGGCCGGGAAAGGGTTCTTGAAATCCTCAAACTGAATGACGATGCTGTCACACGATCAGCTTCCTGGACGGCCAAAGGATGGATAGAACATACCTTGGCCACTTATCAGTGAGGGCAGCCATGAGCTCGTCCAAAAACTCTTTCTCCTCCTCGGCGGAGACCTTGGGTGTCCTGGAACCCATGTATAACGGGTCCTCGCGAAGAGCCTTATTGCTTGTTCCCAGATCGAGGCA